CGTCAGCAGGCTGGGACCAGAGCTCACAGCCTTTTCACACCGAACGGGATGGCTGGCTGTGGGCAGGAGCTGCAGGGGGACTGCCAGGGAAATGAAAGCTCTCTGTTCTCCTTCCTGTTACGCTCAAGCACTTCATGGAACAAAGGGGATGTATGTGGAACTAAGAATGTTCTGTTAGTACAGTTACGTGTATTAGATCGTTACAATAATCCCCATGCATCATTCAATAGTACAGTTAAAATTACTACACAGAGAAAGAGCCTTTCCTAGGATCTCTCCCTTCTCTAAGGGTGGCGTTAGGCTCACCCTTCCAGTGTCCTCCTGTTTCTAAGGGCTGGCATTCTCCGATTTTTCTTTCACTTGCTTTGTCTTTCCATCAAGCAACCTAAGTCAGATTCCCACGGCTAAGCAGTGCGAATGCCTTCTTTCCTGAATAAGTATACTTGAAGTTATTTAGATGGGCAGGAAAACAGAGAACTTGTGATTTCATGTTCATTTATAATTCATTTATTATGCAAGTAACTGAAAAATCGGAAAAAAATACATTAACCAAGCAGCTGTTGTGGGAGAAACTGGTTTGAGCCACAAGAGGTACCCGTGTGGCAGCGGGACTCACGGGGGCCAAGGTCACAGCAGTGTCACAGGCGAGTGGGGGACAGGCTGAGGAGGTGCACGGATGGTGCTGCACGTCCTGAGTTACCAGGAGCAGAGGGGTACACTGGCTGTGACAAAGCTCCCTGCTGCACAGACGCTGCCCTGCCATGTCAGGCTCCTCCACAAAGCTGTTCATACCTGCCGTAAATGCGCATAGGCCCTAGTACTTTTGTTTCACGTCAGGATGGATGGAGACCTGAACCTCTTTCGCTCTGCCTTCCCTCCTACAGCTGTAGCAATAAACTGCTCCTGCCCGACCCGGCCCCCTGAACCAGTGCGTATGTTTATTCTGCAACACCTGTTAGTCAGTTCTGATGAGAGCCCAGAGCAATACAAAGACTTTTTTTCAGGTTTTTAGGTGTAAACTTAGCATATAATAATTTATTTCTGATACCTAAGTGGGTTATTAATACCTGCAGCTGGGGCTCCCTGGCAACTGTGGATCGGGATGACGGTAAAGTATGAGGGCAATTGGTGATGTATCTTTCTAAATCACTATTGCTGACCTTATGTAGTAACGATTAGGTGCATTACCTTGTTTTGCTTTATTTTTTGTTGTATTATTTTAAGACTAAGGAGCATTATCTGGTTTATTCTCTTCGTTGTTTATAAAGTATAATAAGCTTACTGTTTTGACTAAATGCATTATCTTCTGTTTTGTCTTATTGTGCAAGAGCTAGTAAAATAAGTCTATTCTTTCTGTTCATATCTAGTCCTTTCTGTCAAGCCCATCAATTGGCAAAACAGTTAACTAGAAAAGGCACATTAAAGAAAATGTACTCACCCTGGTAAATAAGACAGGAGAGCTGGTGACAACCAACATGGAGAAGGCTGAGGTACTTGACAATTTTCTTGCCTCAATTTTCAACATTTCCCACATCTCTCAGGCCCATGAACTTCAAGGCAGGCACTGGGGGGATTAAGTCCTTCCCATTATAGGAGAAGGTCAACTTTGAGACTACCTGAGGAACCTGTACATAAATAAGTCCCTGGGACGTGATGAGATACACCCTATGGTCCTGAGGGAATCAGTTGATGTAGTTGCCAAGCCATTCTCCATCATATTTGAAAAGTTATGGCAGTCAGGTGAAGTCCCAGTGACTGCAAACAGAGAATCATCACACCCTTTATTAAAAAAAGGGTTAAAAGAAGGACCCTGGGAACTACCAACCAGTCAGCCCCACTTCTGTGCCTGGTAAAATCATGAAGCAGATCTTCCTGTAAGACAGGGATGTGATTAGAGACAGCAAGCATGGTGTGCTGGTCTTGGTTAAACCATGACAGTCAGTTTTGGTGCCCACCATGGGACTTGAAGGGTTCGAGATAATGACACGTTTGATTGGAATGTGCCAGACCAAATTTATAGCTGTGATCTGTGATCACAAACCAATCAGAGTTTGTGATATCTGTCTAGAAGGGAGGTATATAAGTAATGGCAAATATATGAAATTCTGAATAATGAGAGATCTGAGAAGAGGGGTAACCTAGAATATTCAAATGGAAGCAAAACATCTGAAAATTCACTAGAAATGCCACACCACTGAGGTACTTTCCATTTGTTTTCTTATCTTATTTTAACGCTATAGCAAGTTCATAATGTGCAGCTTAACTTATTTCTTAGTTTGTAATTGCATATAAATGACTCACTGGAATATGAAACATGAACAGAATGTATTTATTACCTGAACATACATGTTCTTTTGACTCCTTCCAATGCATAGCCTAAGTAAATTTTTGAAAGTATATTTATACAAATTCTGATACTATGTCTCTTCCCTGATGACCTAGTCCTTTCTAATTATGTATGTATGTATAGTATAGCTCTACCACAGTGCTTAAGCATCAAATAGCTGTTTCTAAATGGACAACAAACATAGATTATATGATTCAGCAGATTAATTTCTTAGAAGCTCTATGAAATCCTAAAGAAGTTCCATTGTCAAATACAATGAAGATCTATAGGATAACTAACTAGCCAAATCTAAAACAAAATTTTTCAGTGTTAACTTCTATCTCTCTGACTAGGAACAAAGTTGGAAACACATCTCGTTCTGTTTTCCTTTTTGTGAAGTCATCAGTACTTTAGGCTTGGCTGCTTTAAAATATTTCTAAGCTTGATGGCTAAGGACTAAGATGGTACAGTTAGGCAAACAGCCTACATCTTCGCACCCTAAGTACTCCAGACAGTAAATTCTCACCATCCCGAAAAAAGTGCTCTGTTGGCATCCATCTGGTAGAACACAGAGGAGATAGATGGGATTGATAAGCAGGCAAGCCTAAACCATGACTGTTTTGTAAGTATTTGTGACACATTTCTTTTAAAAATGAATTAACCTAAAAAGCTGGGGAAAAAAACCATGTACTTGTAATAGTGTAGAAAAGTCTAGGCCATTTAATTCCATCTCAGTGTGAGTTGTTGAAAAGTTGCCCAGATCTCAAGCAACAGCTTTGAGCACTGGAGTGCCATGGTTGGGTTCTGAAAATAAAAAGTAGAAGGTTTTGTATAGTGTTTATAAAAAAAGGGAGAAGTAGTACATGCAGAGAACTTGGAAACTATTTAGTTCCGAAAGTTATATGTGCTCTTGTAATAGCTAACATAACAAAGAAACATCAGCAAAGGTCATGGAGTTGCTTTCACTGACTGTCAGATGGTGGGGACTGCTGTGTGAAATGTTGGGCTACACCACTAGCAGAAATGATAGTGGAGCACAGAGTAGAAATAATTGTCAGGCAAGGAAAGGAGGAAAAGGAACAGTTAGCTTTGAAGATCTCAACTGGGCTTAAATTGGAACTTGAGACCCTGACAAAAATCAAGATGTTAAATGTGAATGAAGGTTAACGCAGGAAGGGGTTAACCTAGTAGGTGACCTACCAGTTATCTCTCAAGATGAGGACTATAAAATTGTTGCTGTTACAGCTCTTCCTAGGTATTCTTACAATCTGGGCAAGTCAAACTCCAGCGGGCTGATCATCTAGTTCCTCCTTATTCACCCCTGACTTATCAAGAATTTCCAAATCACCCCTCTACAAATAATTTTTTTCACCTTTGCAGTTGCTACTTTCCCACTTTAACTCCCCTTTTCCTGGTACACCTATCAGTGATCCCCCATGTTCCAGTGTAGCCATATCCTCACCTAGGGGTCCACCGATTAAAAGAAGAGCCTGGAGTGATAAAGAACCATTTTTGTAGTCACGGGGACCAATGGGCCCTATGATGCCTCTCGGACCAATTTGACAACAGTAGCCAACAGAAATGGGAACTCACAGAAGGTGAGGGTGTAATATATTCACAGACATTGTGTAAGAGATTTAACAGTGAACTGTCATCTTGTTAGGATGAGTTTTATCAGGGAAATGCTACTCCGAAAAATACAGTGTGTATCAAACCACAGTGCTGAGATTATCAGTTAAAGATCTGAATTGGGATTGATTCTACCAAACCCTGCTGCATTGGACTGGTTTCTCTAGGAAAATCTTCATCTGATTTCTGCAAAGTGAAACAGCCAGAGGATAACCTCCCCCAAAACTTTCTCTTTCTGTTAGTATGTAGACCCAAGGTCGTTTCTTTTGTTCTTTTAATTTTCTTCATAATGACTGTATTGAAAGACAGCATCAAGGCACTGTATGCAGCATCCCAAGAGTATTTCACAATCAAATGAAAGAAAGGCAATTTAGCTTACCTGGGGAACTTGCAGTGTGACAAAAGCACACCAATCCTGAAGAACCCAAGAGGACAGCACTAGAAAACTGTGCAAATGCTGCTGTTTTCAAGGACTGCAAGGAACAATGAACCCCGTAGAGGCGAAAGACCAAGACTCCTGTAGGAGACAAGCATGCTGCATATGGGCAGGGACAGGTAAAGCAAGGTTTTCTCTCGCTTTGTACTTCCTTCAACTATTCCAGTCTCTTCATAAATCCTTGCATACCATGCTGATCTAGCCCTGGGAAAAGGGAGTGTGTCTGCATGAGGTGCCTGGTCTGTCAGATCCTTTCTCGAAACACTTCGGGTTGACCACCTTTTTCTGGGTGGCCTGCCTAGCGATAGGGAAGAAGAAAGGCCCCTTAGAGAGCTCTAGTTCTACTTTCTCACATGACTGTTGCTTTCCTCCCTTGCCATGGCTTCATGTTGGGCACAGGACCCTGCTTAGGGGCCTCCCCCCTACCTGGGGCAGATGGTTTCTGCTACAAGGGGCCCCTTGGATTCGAAGAAGACAATTCCTGGGCACACCTGGGCGGGGACCCACACAGACGTTTGCATTTATACGTACAGCCTGGGGGTGCCGAGAAGCTTTTCTCTCTCTGAGGAGAGCTCTCCAGCCCCGCCTCTGCAGCCTGCCCGTCCCTCAGCGGAGGCCGCCCTTTCCCCTCACGGGCGGTGCTGCCGCGGCGGGCGGGCGGGGCCGGGCCGGGCGCCGCCATGCGATTTCGGGCTAAGATCGTGGATGTTGCCTGCCTTAACCACTTCAGCCGTGAGTATGTCGGGGCAGGGCGGGCCGGAGGACGGCTGTGCCTCGGCGGGCGGCCGGGGCCGATTTTCCCGGGGAAAGGGAAGAGGAAGGGCGGTGCGCACCGGCGGCCCTCGGCGGGCGCCGTGAGGGCCCAGGCCGCGGGCGCCGTGAGGGCCCAGGCCGCGGGCGCCGTGAGGGCCCAGGCCGCGGGCGCCGTGAGCCGCGGGCCCAGCGGCCTTTCCCGGGGGGAGGCATGCAGCGTGGGGCACTTTCCTTCGCACCGAGGGGTTTGGGAGTTTCCGCAGCAGCACGAGCTGAGTTTTTCGCTTGTTTTGAACGTTTCTCCCCTGCAACAAGGTGCTGTAACGTCCTTCTCTCTCTACCAGGTGTAGTTAACACCATTGCCAAGTTAGCCAAGACCTGCACGCTGCGCCTGACTGTCAGCAAGGTGTATTTCATCCTCGCTGATAAAGTCGGGAATGGAGGCGTCAGTATGTGGTGTGAGCTGTGCCAGGTGAGCCCGGGGAAGTTCAGTAACCCCATGTCATTGAAAAACCAAAGCATGCAGTTGGGTCTGGGATACGAGGCATTTTCCTGCACACACAGTGCTCGCCTGAGGGACGCCAGGTCTCTCAAGGCTTGTCAGGTCACTGAAGGCACTCTGTTTTCAGGACTGCCTTTTAAAGTTGCACAGGCCTGGTGTTTCTGGCTAGACATCTTCTTTACCTTGGTTGTCACTTCAGTGTAAAGCTTTGGTGCGTGTTGGCCCACAAGGGCCTGCCCAAAAGTGGAAGCGGGAAGGTGTAACTCACATCATACTTTTGGTTTTGAGGACTTACAGGTATTAGAGGAGGATCTGAAATTAATAGATTTGGCCTAAAGCGATAGGCCTTCTTGCTTGTGCAGCCTGTGTTGATTCCTGTAGGTGATGCCAGGCAGAGGAAAGTTTCCCATTGTACACATGCAGTTCTGAGCTTAAGGTCTCGTAGTTAAAACTTGCCCGCTGTCTTTTTTTTTTTTTTTTTTTTTTTTTTGTATTTTTTTTTTCCATTTGCATTACTTTATTTCCCAACTTTCAAAAATTGTAGGGGAATTTCTTCGATGAATTTCAGATGGAAGGAGTAGCTGCAGAGCACAATGAAATCTATTTAGAGTTGGTGCCTGAGAACCTATCAAGAGCATTAAAAACCGCCCAGAGTGCTAAGGCAGTGAAGATGAAGTTGACTAACAAACATTGTCCCTGTCTCAGAGTTGCTGTGGAGCTAGTAAGTGTAACCATGCTTTTATCTTCATTATTCAGAATAAGCTCTTAAAAATTAAGTGCTTTTCCTAAGATTAAATAGAAGCTGTGGTAGTCTTTGATGAAATTCTAGAAAACTAAATAAAGAAAAATGTCATTTTCCATTTCACTAGCATTTCCTGCCACCATGGTTGGTAGCACACAGAACCAGCTTTGTATTTTTCCAAGGGCAAGGAACAGGTGGAGGAGGAATGAAAGCTGTCATTGAAACACCTTTTTCTAATGTCTGCTTTTCTCCACTCCTTCATTCTCTAAATCTTCTGTGGATTATTGCTTTCTCATTGAAGCCATTAGGTGAAGAAGATTTTGGTGTAGTGTTTGGCTCTTTGTTTTGCTTTTGATTGTCCTGCCATTCCATTTCTAACTTCTGTCTTCCAAACGATTTTTGTTGTTAACACCTCTTCACTGATTGACCTCTTCAGCTCTAATGATAGCTTATGACTAATGACTGATACCTCACAACCTCTTCCTTATTCAGAAGGGAAGTCCGCTTAATAGCGGACCAATAGGAGCCTATGGAAAACTGGAACTGAGTGTCTGGGGCACTCAGTTATGTTACTTCTTAGCGTGGGTGTGAAAAATCTGAATTCAGAACTCAAGTCCTGTTTTTAACTGCAAAAGCATCCTCTCTCTCCCTCAAGCCATCCTTATCAAGCAGCAGTAGGATTGTGACACATGACATTCCTGTGGGGGTTATTCCTAGAAGACTGTGGAATGACTTCAGAGAGCCCAGTGTGCCAGACTTTGATGTAAGCTTCTGTTTCTATATTCCCTACTGAAAGGGGAGGTTGCAAGTGGAATGCTGTTGCTGTGGAGTATACTACTGATGGGTTTTGGAGAGGAGATTAAAGGAAAGGGAAGGCTAGAGAGAGGCTAGAGGTTTGGATGGAACATGGCTTCCATCTTGACAAGAGAGTCTAGATCCTGTAAAAACAGAGCAGGTGGTTACCAGTTCTTGCTGTGATATTCGGGGTGGAGGAGGGGAGGAGTAGAGGACTTGCATGGCTTTAGGCATAGGCAGGAGCACCTCCAAACCACACAGGTTTAGACTGTTTCAGCTGTTGAGGTAACAGGTGGCTCAGATAATCTGTTCTTTCTGAAATTCATGGCCTGCCTGGCAGAGTTAGATATATATGTGTTTCCTCCCAATTTTTATATATCCTCTTTATATCCTTTTTGACTTTTAGCAGAGTTGCAAGGAAAGGTCTTAGTGCAAATGTGCTCCTATTTGAGGATATGGATGTCCATTACCTCTATAGCTAAGAGTATTTAAATTCGGAAGACATGACACAGTAGAAACTTGATGTGTTTTGTTCTGGTATTTCAGATTTTTACTGATGCAGTTCCAGAAATGATTACAGTACTGTGGCAATCATGTTCTTTCCTTTTTGGCTATAGTAACTATTAACTGTTCAGTAACACAGATAAGGGTTCATGTGAGAATCTGATCTGCAAAGACCTGTCTCTACTTTATATTGAACACAGGCTTGTGATAGTATGTCTGAAGCAATTGCGAGAGTGATGGCCTGTTGGTATAATGGGAAAAGGTTCCTTTGATTTGTTGATTTAAGTGTTGTTCTCCCTGCTCTCAACAGATAACTGAATCCAAAGTAAGATAGAATTGAAGGGAGAAATGAATGCATCACATCCCAGTCACACATAAAATATTTGTGCGAATGCAGTTCTTATGTCTTTCTAGGTCAGTATTTACCTTCCAGTGCTGAAAACAATGAAGAGTGTTGTGGAGAGAATGAAGAATCTCAACAATTCCATTGTAAGTTAAGGCACTTCAGGCATGTGTCCTACAGACCTTATTTTGTCTTGGTTATAGCATGTTTCGCTGTTGCCCAAACTGTTGCCCCTATGTTATCGTACTTTGGCATGAGTCAGACATTGAACTAAAGGCACCTGAAGACTGTGTAAGGACTGAAGAGAATGTTGGGATTTATTTTAGGATTTACACTAAAGAGTTTGTCCTGGGCTTCCCAGAAAGTGGTGCTGCTCTTAGTGAATCCCTGAAAGAACATGGTGTTGTGTTGCTACAAGCCTCTCTTTATAGCTGGTAAGAAATTGTGGTCCTTCAGAAAGATAGCTGGAGAGTTTAAGTGATTTAATTAAAGAAATGCTTGTTAAGTAGGTCCTGTGTTAGATGTCTGTGTGAATGAACTTTTGGTAAACTTGAGGTAGGATTTAAAGGAAACCTTAACTAATAGATATCAAGCTGTCCTTTAGACTCTCACATGGTGGGTTTCCAGTCCACTCTGGGTTTCTGGAGTGCTGATGGGCCTTCCGTTGAAAGAAGCCCTTTGCAGTTGGCCAGAAAAGAGGTTTGAATTTTTTTTTTTTTAAAGTTGTTGCTCAGTTACCAGAATTGACTGACATGAAAGTTAGTAAGTATGGAGCTTTGGAATAGTTTGGTTTTGGGGCTGTTCATATCGACTGTAGGTGCCTTTCTTTGTTGAAAAGCTGGAAGGAAATGAAGGAAATCTTGCAGTTCTCCAGCTTCACTGTCGTATTTTAAAGACTTTTCCTCAGCATATGAACTTACCAAAGCCAGTACTTGCTCTAAAAGTACTGGAGAACAACTGAATTTCTTTCTTCTCATAATTCAAGGAGCTTGGTCTAGGATAATTCACACAGGAATGATGAGAAATCCATTTGTAGCTGAACATTCAAATGTTCAAACCACGTTCCAAAAGTACAGTTGAGCTGTGAAGGCACCGAAGTGCTTCTGGTAGCTTGTGTTTGAACAGAACTGCACTTTATTCACTCTGCAGTGCAAAAGCGGCTTGCCTAAAATCGAGATTGGTTGTATTGCAGGTGATTGAAGCAAACTTAAGTGGAGAAATGAACTTGAAAATAGAAACTGACTTAGTGTCTGTAACAACACATTTTAAAGACTTGGGAAATCCTCCCTGGCGTAAGTTTCCCTGTTTGTTACCTCTTGTGTCTGTCTGATCTCGTTACTTAAGTGTGATGCTGATAACAGTACTTACCTTCTGTTAGTCCTTACAAAAGCGTGTCAAGTACTTTGAAGTCTTCAAATGAAACCTTAAAAGTAAAAGTGACCGATGGCTGCTTTGTGTGTGTGGGGAGAATCTCTTCTGGTATCCTTTACCAGTTTGGAGGAAAACTGGGCTTTCTCTTCCTTGCACTGCTGTTTCTGAAAAACACCCCATTTGAGTACCAGCTGTTCAGTGATTATTAGGTGTGTCCTTGTAGGTGTTGAAACTCCTGATGTTTTGACTAAAAGTGTTGTGTTCTTACTTTTAGCATCAGAGGATGGATATCAAAGTTCTCAAGACAGAGATCTGGAAAGCATGGCTGAGGCACGCATAGACATTAAGAAGCTGCAGCAGCTGCTTGCTGGGCAGCAGGTCAATCCCACAAAAGCATTGTGCAGTAAGTTCAACAGTTCTGCTTGCAAACTCCAGTTAGGGAGGGATGTTTGTCATACTTGCAGTCTCAGCAGAACAGCGTATCTTCTGTTTTGTCTGTTTGAAACTTGACTGGTTTTACTGTACTTGAGGACTTAATATTTCTAGGTGGTAAGTTTCAGGCCTTAGGTGTCTGGGGAAGAAAACATTAAAAAAAAAAATCAAGCCAAGCCCTTTTATAAGCATCAAGTTGAATACTCAGTCTGGATAATCATAGGTGTCATCTTGTCTTTGTTTTGAAGTTACTATTATTTTGAGGTACTATTCTTTTGAAAGTCTTAAAACGAAGCCCCTAGTTTCTAGCATAAAACCTGGGATTTACTGATGTGTTAGCTTTGTTTTTTTTCCTCAGATGCTTTCTAATGTTCAGTGCCAAATTGATTCTAATACCAAAATGTCTTTTGTGCAGCTTCTGTTTCTAACCATAGAAGTTATATGTTCTTTCTAGCAGAAGTCTATGCAGGGTTTTATATCCTATTTTGATAACCCCCTATGTTCTTCCTTAGAACATCGGTTTTAGTGCAAATGCTAAGAATTTCACAAGAAGGATTTAAATCATGGGTATAGCGTTATAGACCTATACATTACATATTTCCTTTTTGGTATCAGCTTTCATAGAGACTTTAGTAATGCTTCATAGACCCTCAAGGACTTCAGTATTACATCATGATGTGTCTAATCATCCTTCTGTCAGAAGTGGTAGAAGCATTGTATTCCTATGGTGGCATTCTGTAGATGTAATTTTAAAGTATTTTTCCTGCTCTAAACTGGATTTGTGTTTTTTTTTTCTCTTTACAGATATTGTAAGTAAAAGAATTGTCCACTTCATCTTGCTCCATGAGGATGTTTCTCTTCAGTATTTTATCCCAGCACTTGCCTAAATGTTTTGGAATCTCAATCATTTTCCAACCTGGGGCCTTTTCCGTGACGTCCAAAAACCTTCATAAGTTGCTCGAGTGCTTTTGTGTGATACGCTGTTAGGTGCAGCCATCGGATGGACATTATTTCCGTATTTATGAAATTACTCAAAATGCCTCCTCATCTAGAAGGCCATTTTTTTGAAGAGTTATGTACTATGAAAGACACAACTCTGGGGAGCTGGCATATTTGAGCATTACAGGGAGCAAAACTGAAATGTGTATGCACTTTTGGGATGCTTTGAGCTGTGGGGAAGGCAACGTAGCATTTTTTTTCTCATTGACAAACTTCGAGGTAGAACTGACCTTTGTAGCTGCTGCTGGATATTCAGTATTGGACAATGCAGCTCCAAGTTAAGGGATCTCCGAGCAAACTGTTGTACCTCCATGGAGCAGAAGAGCCGCCTGGAGGGTAGACAGATTGGTATTTGCCTGGGCAGGTAAGCACAGCCCTCCTGAGGTGGGACTGGGCTGACTTCTTTTCCAGCAGTGGTGTAGATGAACTTGCTGCTGCTGCATGTTGTGCAGCAAGAAATGTGTCTGAGGCAGTGGAGCTTCCTGTGGCTGCTAGTACATAACAGATGCTAAGGAGCACCAACAGCTCAGCAGCTTCTGGTTGTACCTGGTTGTATCTTTTGATCTGACTTGCTCCAGCATATGTCAGTAGTTCTGTTAGCGCTTGAGCCGATGTGTTTAGCTCTTGGCCTGAGAGGATGAGAAAAAGTCCGATTTACCTTGTTCATGTAGGCACTGAAGGTCTCTACCTGTGTACAGAATGAATAGCACTTGAGGGCATGTGTGGACTCAGCAATTGGTATGAAACAAAGCTATCCATGGATCACATTTTTTTCCCCTTTCCAGGTGGAATACAACCTGTGTCATCATGGCATCAGACATGGTGAGATTGGATCTAGGCTCTGATGCTGAGCCGCCAGGAACATGGCTAAGTCTCACTCACAGGAGTACTGCCCCTGCTTCTATTTCCTGGTTGTCTTCTGAGGTCTTTTCTTCCTTATTCCATGCTTGGTTGTATTTGTTATCCAGCCCTGTTCCGTATAGCCTTTGGTGTTCCACAGCGTTTTGAATATCTTGTGAAACTTCTTGTTTTAGAAATAGTGGGTCCTTGCTGCCAGATGGGACTGGGAGTTTCTGCTAGACAGTACCTCTTGTTGTGGTCGGAAGTGGTGTGTTTTGGGTTGATTGGTTTGGGTTTTTTTCCAAGGGGCATTTTGGTTAAGGGAGCAATTAATCTTGCTGTTCTTGCAGAGGCAAATGGTTAAGAGAAGGCTGAAGGAGAGGCAGTGGCCTGGAGTGTTATTCTTCCTTGCACTCTTCCACCATTTCTGTCAGACTAACCAGAAACCATCTTCCAAATCCTCTCAGTTTTCATGGGCAACTGCAATTACCCCAAAAATCTGTAAGATGAATAGCTGTACACTAGGTTACAGCAATTGCATGGTAAATATTCCTGGGTTTTCTCCTGAGGAGAGGGGAAAATCTGTCATATGATACAAGAGTATGCAGTGTGAAAGTAAGCTTTGGAATCTTTGGATTTTGTCTTTTGAAAAATGCGTTCTGTGTAATGTGATGGAAATGGCTTTTACTGGTATAGCCTAGTAATGATGGCCTGCCTTTCAGCTATGTGGGCTCTATGATTGCTATATTTAAAAAGAGATCAGACATTAGAATGGCAAGACAATGTGTTGTTTGTTTGTTTTTTAATAAAAAATAGAATTGGAGTAATGCTGGTACAGGTCAGGAGTATGCAATGAGATGTCCCTTTCATATTCTGGAGAGGTGAAGCCTCTCCAGCCCCAGTGCTTTTTTATCCTTCCCACCTAAATACAGCATAAGGATACAGCTCAGCCTCCAGTTGACACATACATGCTAAACAGAGGAAAAATAATATTTACTCAGGTTTAAACCTGCTGTCATCTGGGAATCCAGTTGTCAGAGCCCTGAGGACAGTATTGGGCCTTAATGGCCCTAAGCAACCTTACCAGGGACCCCTGTCCACCCCCTGTCCATGGGCCCACAAATCCTATTTCAGCTCAGGCTGTGGCATAGTGTACTCCCCTAAGCAATGTTGTAGGTGGGCCTGGATCCCGCCCTAGTCCTGAAATGATGTTTGGATTTCCTGGATTGGCTTTGGCTGGGAGCTGTTGCTCTCACTACCTGGCTCTGCTTGCCTAGTTGAGGTTCTGCAGGCCCTGGGCCCCAGCTGTAGGGTGCTGCCTAGCCTGTGTTGTGGCCACCCTCTGCTCCCTGGCTCCTCTCTCCTGGAGCAGCCTCACTCTTGCTGCTCCCTATCACCAATAATGAGAAGAAATAATTTTCATTAACAGCCCTAACTGGTTCCACATGATGAACCGCATGTTTTGTACTAGAAAATTTTTGCGGTGGCTTAAGCCACCAAGACAAAACAGAGTTGTGAGGCACTGGTGGAACTGCAAAATAACTGTAAGACCATCCAGCTTCTCTTCCAACACTTTGTTCTCCTAAAACACATTTCTGTTATGGAATGTTAGGAGTGGCCACTACCTCCAGCAGCTCTGGCCCAGGCTTCCTCCTGCAGAGCTACTGGAGCCCAGCCTTAAATACCTGAGCAGCAGGGATGTGTGTGCCCTGGGCTGAGGGATGTAGCTGCTGCTTCCCCCACCTGCAGGTTCAACCAGCACTGAAGCTGAGCTTGTGTCCCAGAGACACGCAGGCACGCGCAACACTAATGTGGTTGGTCACAGAGTGCCCCAGGCAAGCCGTGTCTTCAGCTGCATCTGTGTACAGGACCCACGTAAAACCAGCACAGGCATCCCCTTCTCCCTCTTCATCTGGCAGAGACGGAAGGACACTAGTGCAGACACACACACCATGCTCTCCAGGTTCACAAGCACGTACATATCTGTAGAGCCCTTGAGTACTGGCACTGGCTGCCCGGTGCTGCTGCCTAGATCCTGGCCCTTACCCGCCCTGTGGGTCCCCTGTTTGCTGGCTCATCCAGGTCGGTGCTTGTGAGCAAACATGCAGCACATGCTCTTGTCCCACACACATCCCCTACTCACAGGTCCTTCTGGATATGAGCACGGCCCCTTTGCCTGCCTAATACCCCAGTCCTACACCCAGGCCCTTGTACTCACTGGCTCAGCTAGCTTCAAGTTTGACAGCAAACCCGTGCACACTGGGTTTGGGGAACACAGAGATGCTTGACCCCACATCAGCCAGCACCGGGTGCATGGGCCATGACCTGCGGTCCCGCTCCAACTGCCAGCACCAAGCCCCCCACCTGCCTCACTCATGCCAGTCCCCACCAGTAGTTGATTTTTGGGACACAAACCATTCCCACCCCAGCATCTGGGACCCCCTCACTCACTCCAGTAGCTGACGCCACAGCCCTGGGGCACCAACACCCCCAGTCTGGCTCCAGTAGCTGGCACCAATTCCAGTCGTGCTGTTCCCCCCTATAGCTGGCACCCAGCTCTTGCAGCACATAGACACACAGGATATAGAGCAGGGTTATGCAGAGATAGTGGAGAAGGGACTTGAGAAGATAGGACAGACTGTGGCAGTGAGCATATTGACCGACCTCTTATGTGCCTTTCTGCCTACTCCCCCCTTTCTTCCTCTCTGCTCCCCTGCACGTTGCCACATCAGTTGGCATATTTGCACCCACTCCCATGCTGGTCTCTGCTTCAATGCTGGTCCCTGAGATTTGCATCTTTATCGGCTGCAAAGTCCCATTTGTGTGTTGTTCTTGACTGCAGTAGGCAGCTCAGCCCCACCCAGCCGCTCACTCACTCTCCCCTGTGTGGGATGGGGAGAGAATCAGAAGGGTAAAGAGGAGAAAACTCATGGGTTGAGATAAGGACAGTTTAACAGGGAAAGCGAAACCAGGAATTCATTCGCCCCTTCCCATGGGCAGGCAGGCTCCACCACATGTAACAGTGACTTGGGAAGACAAACCACCATAACTCCAAATGCCCAACCCTTCCTTCTTCTTTTCTTCCAGCTGAGCACCATACCATATGGTCTGGGATACCCCTGGGGTCGGTTGGGGTCAGCTGTCCCAGCTGTGCCCCCTCCCAGCTCCTTGTGCCCCCCCAGCCACGCACTGGTGGGGTGGGGTGAGGGGCAGGAAGGGCCTTGGCTCTGTGTGAGCCCTGCTCAGCAGAAACTAAAACATCCCTGTGTTATCAACACTGTTTCCAGCACAAATCCAAAACACAGCCCCATATTACATACTGTGAAGAAAACTGACTCTATCCCAGCCAAAACCAGCACATGTGTACTAGAAAAATTTGAAGAACAGGCATGATGTTCCAGTGTATTGTTTTATTATCTGCAGAAAGACCCAAGGTTTAAGATAAGAATGTGGAGAAAAAGGATTAATGTCTGCTAGTCTATATCACTGAGTTTAGGTCTCTAGTTTAGGAGAGCTGTGCAATCAGAATGGTTTGTTAAATAGTACAAGTGATTTGCATTCTGAAAAGCTGGCCTGAAGAGGCTGCTCACCCACCCCCGATCAACAGCTGCTGCTCTCTGCTTTCCCTGTTCCTCCCCTGAGTTGACATGCTGATGAACTTTTCTTTCTTTGGAGCTGGGGAACTGATTCTGGGTGCCCCTGTCCCTGCCTTGTAAGGCCTAGCAGATTCCTTAATTCCTACTAGCAGAAACAAACCTTCCAAGTCACAAAGAGTTATAAAGCAGTTACGTTTATTGCAGCGCTGGGTGCAAGGGGGATCGCTCCTCCTAGGTTGCACACCGTCTCACAGAGCAAGTGCTCTTTTATGATAGAAAAGCATGCCTGTTCATTAGTGTAGGCTGGCTTATTACAATTAGTTTTGGGAATAGGCGTAACTATTGTCATTATTTCCGGGAACTCAATATCATAAGTTTCTTCCTTCTGCCACGGGCGTACTGCCGTCTGGTGCTCGTGGGCTGGGGTCGTGGGCCGGGGTCTTCTGGAGGAAGGCAAGTAGTCTTCTCCGTGTACTCTTCACCTTTGTCTCAATGCTGAGTTATCTGGGTCAGTAACCGCTGGTCCCACCCAGACGGCTGCTCCTCACAGACAATAAGGTTCCCGGAATTAACATATGGGTACCCTGTTATCTGTGAAGGCCTCTTGCAACAATGTTATCTTTCAAGGCTCCTCTCAACCAAATTTCCCATCATCTATCCCCTAAGCTTACACTGTTTTGCTAAGAGGAGCCAGATCATTGCATTCTTAGTTAATGTCCTGGTGAGAAGGTAAAGACATGAACTGAGGGGTAGGAGGGAAGCTGATGTACTTCTGTGTTAACTTCTGTTACTCTGAAAAGCTGCATCACAGGCTCCTCGGATTTCCTCTGAACTTTGTTCACCTCTGAGGGGCTTTTCCCACCTCTTCTCAGGGCCTTCCTCTGATTTGTGGCTTAAATGTGCGTACCAAAGCCTAATATGTGTATGTTCTGCTGACAATTTCTGTTTCACTGAGATAGGTTTTATTTTTTCCCTTTTAGTGAGAAAAGTCCTCCTCTACACCACAAGATGTCTATTGAGGCCACTTGTATGCCTACGCTACCTTAATTTTGCTAAGCAAGATATGATAGAAGATTTTTTTACTGTGTTGCTGAACTCTCCCTGTGCTGGTACATACCTGAGGAAGTTGCTCTTGAATATGAGTATGTAGTACACAAGGTTATGTGCGTACTTTTTGTTTATTTACTGGAAGTTTGTGCCTTAATTTTAATCAAACATCTGTTCCAGTAACACCTCTGTGGCTGAGAGCTTTGGCTTTTGTGAGAGACTGAACTATGAACTGTTTGTCTTGAGTTGTTTGTCTCAACGATTGCCTGCCTGCAAGGTAGCACTGGTGAGAGACATCTCGCCAACATGCGTTCGTGTGTCATTGTTACGGAAACCACAGCCTCAAATAGGGATAAAAAGGGCTGTTGAGAGGAGCCCCGTATGATGGTCTGATCTTTCATTGCCAAAGCACCACTGAGAGACATGGACCCCTGGGACACCCTGGATCCATGGTGATGACTATCCTTGCAACCCTATCCCGACTACTTACTTGACTTCTGCCTTTTCCTTCTATCCTATTGCTACCTCATTTACTTTTGATAACAAAAGCTGTTTCTAGTGTACAGCATTTGACCTCATTTGTGTCTTAATCTCATTCTTGGGATCATATCAAAACCTCCCCCAACATTGGATCGGGACATTTTAAGCGGCATCACAGACAGGATCCCTTGAAATGAGATTGCCATACTGTTAGCGGTCGCAATCGTGACTAGAACTTCCCTACACACAGCAGATAAGCAGGCACTCCTTTATTCCAGCACTGGGGAACACAGGGGATAGCTCCACCAAAGCCGTGCTCCCCAACAGGTACAAAGCACAACATATTTATGCACTTTTTCAGCAGTCATGGTTACATAAGATCAACAAAATTCATAAAGTTTAGTTTGACCTTAATAATGATTGGCTTTCAGTTACCTCACCTTACCTATATTCCTATTCCTATTCTACAGAAATCATTGGTCACCTTTACTGATTGATTTGAATAGAATGAGGGGAGGGTAATGATCAGCATATTCATGTTATCTCCTGGAAATCATTATCACATGCAGATGTCTCTAACGCATGCGTGGTTATGTTGGACGGGGTTCCTCTGGTGGTCAGTCTTCCTCACTGTGTGCACTGACTGAACTCCATCCTTGCTCATGCTCATTTCATCTTTGGCTGATCTTCCCAACCAAACCCAGCATCTTCTGGTACCTATTGTTTTGACTCAAGGTCCATAACCAGTACCCCTTGTTTTAATTCAGAGTCCATAACGATTCTTACCGTGTTCAAGGCACACACCATTCTAGCTACCTATTCCTAAGGGCCTTAGTGTGCTTTATATTCTCAAAGCTGCTATAGCTCCATTTTAAATCAAAGCCATATTTTAAACTAAAATCAAAATAATATTCTAGGATTCAAGCTATTTTGTTAAGGTAACTGTATTTTAATGTATACATTAAATCTCTCGGGAACGTAAAGGAGATGGGCTTGTGTTGTGTTTAAAAATTTATGTGCTGCCTTCCTGAGATGACCGCTTCCCAGCTTTATATACAAGATGAGTGATAATAAGACTGCTCCTTTGGGTAAAGAAGTTTTGTTTGACTTTTTAGAAAAACATAAGGTGAGACCCTCTGTGCCTGGGGTGGACCAGGCTGAGGGGAATTGGTATAATTTGAAGGGTGTAGTTGATAGAACGAGTTCCTTGCAAAAGGATGCAAGAGGGAGATCGGGAAAGGGAAAAGTGATTGTTTGTGCTGTTGTTGGTGCCAGTTTGGCTGCTGCTGTAGAAGCTGGGGAGAGTGGCTGAGTTGTGGAATTCTAGCTTACTGAATCCCTTCAAAACCTCATTCGGTCCCTTCAGGGACAAGTGGGGGACTTGAAAGAACAACTTGAAGGAGAAAGAAATCAGGTGAAACATCTACAGACTGCTCCTTGCAGGCACTGCTTGTTGATATGCGGAATAACGACTTTACAACCAGTAAGGTTATAAAGAAGGTATGTTTATTGAGCACTGGGTGAACAGGGGATCGCTCCTCCACAAGAGTGCACACCCATATGTCCCAGGGCTTTATGCCCAAAATGATACATCATATTCATAAACTTTCCGAGAAATCATTTCCGTATGCCCCACCTTTGTCTTTTCTCTGCACCAGCGCAGTTTTTCCTGGTAGTCATGGGCTGGGATCTCAAGGATGAAGTAAGGCTCCCTCTTCTTCATGAACTTTTCAACTTTTACCTCTGGCGCATGCTCTCCTAGCCCCTGGTGCCAGGTTTCCCCAGCTACAACTTTGGTGCCAGCCCGTTGGGCCCTTGCCGCCCGTCCAACCCACAGAACCAGCCCTCTCCTAGCAACTCCCGTGTTATCAGATAAACGGCATGTCTTAACAAACAAAGGGCATGTTTTAACAAACAGTATCAGACAAATGGCATGTCTCAACCCCCAGGTGCTAGTTCTTCTCCATCACCATGAGAAAGTACCTCCAAAATCAGGAAGTGGTTATGGAAGGATCAGTTATGGGCACCAGTATGGTCCCATTAACCCTCCAGCACTAAAAGAGACTCCTGGGGTTCGAGGCAAGCAGAAATAAAAATGGTTCCATGCCTTAGAGGCGATAAAAGAACACCCCTTGATAAACCACCCGGAGGGAGGGACATTCCCAGCAAGCGAAATAGCCTGTGGACAAAGGGATTGCAAAAGGGGATCCCACATGACTTGTGGATGGGTTGACAATGGACAAGTTAGAAAAATTGGTGATAGGATGGCCCAATAAACTGGCAAATAAGGAGATGGGTTTTGATGATGCCACCCCCAATGTGCCTTCTCTAATTGAACTATTGAGGGATGATCCCTTACTCTTGAGAGAAGGAAAAGGGTTGTGGGAGGCCTGGCAGGTGGACTATATCAGCCCCTTACAAAGATCAGAAGGGAAGCAATACGTGTTAGTTGGGGTAGAGATAGTGTCAGGGCTAGTCCAAGCTGAGGCATTTGTTAGGGCAACAGGAGAAAATACGGTAAAAGTTCTGAAAGTTTGGTTTGGTACTTTCCCCAAACCACAGTCAATTCAGTCAGATAATGGCTCTCACTTTACTGCTAAAATTGTCCACAATTGGGCAACCCGAGAAGGAATTTTGTGGGTATTTCATATGCTTTATTACCCACAGGCAAATGGGATTGTGGAAAGAACAAATGGCTTGTTAAAGCGCTTCCTTAAACTACATAAGTCGGGATGGGCTGAGTGGTTATGGGATGTGATAACCAGCCTTAACAGCCATTGGGGAATAAACAGATGTCCAAAAATTACAGCATTCTGTCTGAAGGCCCCAACCCTTATGCCAGCCCCTTATGGCTCTGATCATTCCAAAAATCCATTACAGTTTCCAGGCCAGCCAGTTTTGGTCGAGCTCCCCACTGTAGGAGCCATACCTCTGGTACTAGAAGCCCCAGTGAGGAAGTATGCCTGGAAGGCAAAAGATGCTCCTGGGAAGGAACATAAGATTAATACAGGGTGGATTGTCCCATCTTTGTAACAACAGTTTGTTTCCAGTCTCTTGAAACAGACCGAGTTTGCTTTCTTTTCTCTTTCAGGTGAAGACTACGAAGCCTGCCTGGAAGAACATATGGAACTGTTGACTGTATAGTTTTGATGGTAATTGCTTTGTTAATATTTACAGGATGTGTAATATACCACCATAGGTGATGTTTTGGCTGACCATCATCGCTGCCTTTAATATCTGGTCAAGCTTCTGCGCTCCCCCTCTCAACTTGTGATGGCAAAATGAATTTGTTGTTTTAGGCCAACAAGTAGCCAATAATTTTAATCCGATTAGTTGTTGGATGTGCGGTGTGCCTTTTGGTTTGGCATATTGTTTGAACTGCACCCAGACTAATGGAATCCGTGTTGAAATGAGTAAATGCAATTGGACATTGTCCCCAGGATTTGACTGCTGGGACCACTATTGTAGTCCTTTTGATTGTAGTAGTAGCCACCTTAAATGGAATTCAACCCATATTAAGCTTTCCAGTGGCAGCTGGGTAAGATGTCCTCTTACAAGACCTAGTGGAGAAGGTTGTGAAGCAGCCATGAGGGATAAAACATTTGATCCTTGACTCCCTTTTTGCATGTGAGACAACACCACTAGCAAAAAATCACATTATTCGAGTATACCAGTGGGCATGGCAACACCAAAATGGAACCCGCACACTGTTCAAAGAATTTTGGTCTAGTAACAATCAAAGTAGATGGAGATGTAATTGTGTGTGGAAAGGTGAAATGGGGGCTTGGATGTGTGAATATTGTGACCAGTATGGAGACAGAACAATTGTAGGAGGACTATTTGAACCAGGAACCACATTATATTATGATCCACCAATAGACTCAGAGGACTGGAATGGTCTCTTTGAAAACGGCTACCCGAGCGTGAAAAGGGCCACTGTTTGGCGTGTGGCCAGTATGCCTCCAAACAGCTACCCACAAATTCAACTGGAGTGTGTTATGTGGGGGTAATCCATCCCTTGTTTTTCCTACTCCTGGAGGACGGAGGTGATGGATTGGGTATTAAGGTATATGATGATCTTAACCAATTTTGGTGATCCATTGGTACCTCTATAGCAGGTCGAAGTGGCCAAATCTGAGGCAAAGATGAGTGGACCCCTCAATGTATTATACAACATTATGTGCCTGCCACCTGGAACTCTGATGAGTGGATTAACAGTGCTCAAGGACCTATTTATAATCTAAATCACATTATCTGATTAAAAGCTGTCCTAGAGATCATTACTAATGAGATGGCCTGTGCCCTTGGTCTATTGGCAGATCAAGCCACACAAATGCGAACTGCAATATTCCAACATTGTATGGTTCTTGACTATTTGCTGGCCAAAGAGGGGAGTGTTTGTGGTAAAATGAATGATTCTAACTGTTGTTTAAAAATTGATGACAACATTAAAATTGTTAAACAAATTAACACAGGAATACGGAAGCTGGCCCAAGTTCCTGTCTAGACATGGAAAGGCTGGGACATTGATATGTTTTCCTGGCTCCCTGGAGGTCCATGGATTAAGCGAGTTCTATTCTATTTGCTATGTAGTTTTCAGTAAATCTTTACATGTAAATGTTAAATGTCTGGTTTGATATATGAACACTACCAACCTCTGCTATCTTATATTCTTTTCATCCGTTTTTCAGAATATGTCTTAGCGGAGCACTGAAGAGGGTGAGAGCACAGAACTCTCTGAACCAACCACTGCTGCTACGAGAGTGATGAAAAATAAGAACTTTCTTTACCAGTTACTTCATCCTGGCAACTGTGGGGTTAGCACAGAAAATTATTTGCTCTGCCATTTCACATGCTATCTCACTTGTGACTAAATGGAGTTTAAGATCAGATGCTGTGGTATCTGCTCTGGTCTGACATTTAGCAGTACTTCCACTTAATCAAATTTCCTCTGATTTGGAACACCCAAGATTCTGTCAGGGTTAGGTAGCAAGAGAAGACAAACTAGATATGTCACAGGATAGGTCCTAAATATAAGAGAGGGATTTAGACAAGATGTTGGCCTTGCCCCACCACCTGTACCAGGGACCAGAAGATGCTCTTCATGCCTCACATTCAATCCCTTCTGTCTTGTTCTGGCGTGAGACAATTCTATGAAGCAGCCTGAGACAAGCAAGTCCCTGGCAAGTCTTCATGCCCTTCATGACTCTTGGATTTTACTTCTGACTCTCTATCTTCCATGAAACTTTTTCAGGCTCTGCATTTTGGTCTATCAAAATTTACACGTGCTACTTTAATATTTGGTTATAATCCTCATTTGGAAGGTAAAAAGAGTTAATTCAGAGAATGATGACAAGTTTGTGAGTTCAATGGAAACAAGCATTTTAAGTGGCAACCAGGAAAATTGTTCTTGAGCAGCTTCAGAGATTTCAAGTCATAGAATCACAGAATGGTTGGGGTTGAAAGGTAGCTTAAAGACCATCTAGTTCCACCCCCCTGCCCCGGGCAGGGCCCCCTTCCCCCAGCCCAGTTTGCTCCCAGCCCCGTCCAACCTGGCCTTGAACCCTTCCAGGGAGGGGGCACCCACAGCTGCTCTGGGCACCCGGGGCCAGCGCCTCTACCCCACACAGGGAACAATTTCTGCCTTACATCTCATCTAAATCTGCCCTCGGTCAATTTAAAACTGTTACCCCTCATCCTATCCCCCACCCCCTGACCCAGAGTCCCTCCCCACTTTTCCTGTCCCCCCTTTAAGCCCTGGGAGGCTTCTCTAAAGTCTCCCCAGAGCCTTCTCTGGGCCGAACAACCCCAACTCTCAGCCTGTCCTCATATGGAATTTAAGGAATTTCCAGAAGATCCTCAGATCAACTGTATTTCCTCACTTGCAAACAGACTTTGTCCAATTCAGAGTTAAATCTTTCTTTGAGCGCGTGGTTTCTGTGTTGTGCTTTTTGGTTGCCCCCTGCTAGAAGTTTGTAGCAATTATTAATAATGTGTAGCCACGTAGTCTGACCAACTTAATCCATTTGACAGTTTTTGTAACCATCTAAAACAGTTGACTTATGTCTTACAAGTTTGTCATTTGAGAGCACCTAACAAACCTTTAGACCTGTTTCACATTGTTCGTAGTTGTTCTAGTATATTCTTATGTATTTTGGTTTCCAGTTTACATTTATAAGGTTAAATTCTGCAGCCACTACTCAGGTATTATTAGACAAAACTGTTGCAGTCATAGGCACAACTCTTTGCTGAAGTAGGTAGCAAAAATCTCTCTTTTCAATAAAGCATTTTTTGGTGAGTCAGCGAATTGGTATAGAAACGTACCTACAGCCTTATTTTGTTTTCCTTGTTTGCTGGTTGCACACTTCTATGTTACTGATTCATATTTTTATGCTACTTTAGAAGAAGACTTTGCATATATTCTTTTTTTTTCAATGCCAGAGCAATTCAGAGTGAAATTTTTTATTAGAAAAAGAAAACAATAGAGGGTGCTAAAGAGCTGTGGAAAAATGTATTACTCTGCTCTCCTAAGAAAAATGAAGCTAGGAACAAGCAGTGACCCTCAGTTAACATTTGTGAGACAGTGCAATTTTTTTATAGTCGTTCATAAATGGCATTTCTTAAATGGGCAGGTTGCCGGTGACTAAATGTAAGACTGGAATTGTTTAAACTTTGTAAGTTATGGAAGACACATTGTTTCTAGAGCAAGCATCATGAATGACATGGGTCAAATCATTTAGGCACAGACCCGGAGAGGTGCTAAACTTAACTGAGAATAGATGGCTAAGTAGTCCGCAGGATCTGGATTTAAGCCTCTCTGTGCTTCAGTGCTTCATCTGTAAAATAAGAATCTGTACTCTACAGCTTGGCACAATATGTGGTGAATAAATGCATGAAGGATTTCTGGTGCATTTGGCTTCTCGGATAGAAGCCTAAATCTAAATTCTAGCTTTCACTGCATAGGTACTCAGGGACATCTTTATTCATGTGCATGTCTCAGTGAATAATCAGGGAAACAAGTTGCATGAATGTGTGTGGGTTTGTGGCATAATGTTTGGCTCTCCTTTCCTTAGGAAGGAGGACACATATGTTCAACTCAATTAATAATTAATTAAGGTCTCACTTTGTGATGTACTATTGATGACAATCTGAAGCTCAGTTTATTGTAGGTGACTAAGGGAATGTTGGACTTCCCTACTTTTTGTACCAAGTCATTGGCTAGTCAGTTGTTTTTTCTTACACTTCACAGATTTAAAGACTCTATTCTATGAGCTTTTATGGTTTACTGTCATGTCATAGAACTATGGAAGGTGCCAAGATGGAGCTCCAAGTAATTTATTCTGGTATTCAAGAATCAGATAGACCTCCAGCAATGGAAACTGTGGGATACTAATGTAATCAGTCAAGTGCAAGGAGTCTCTTCCAAAAATGAAAACAGACAGGAAGAATTTGTCTTATGTTATAGAAGCAAAAATTAAATCACACTCAGATCTTAAAACACTTAAAGTGATGTCCAGGCATGTGCTGGCACTTGTATAATTTACAGCAAAAACTGGGAACAACTGTAGCCTTTGTTTCACTCAAAATAACTGGCAGTGTTAGTAATTACTGGAAAAATTTTACTTACCACTGTCACTTTGGTGAATTTATCACTCCTCAAAGAACATAGAAGCAAACTAGAAACTCAAGAAGTTATCTCTAATTTATGAAGTAGTGTGGAATAATTTGTACATGGGTCTTCGACTTCTGAGAAGCTCATAAATATCTGTTAATTTATAATGGCCAGCTCTCAATTGGCATAAATCAGCTTAGTTCATTTGATATCAGTAATTACACTGTTGTGGTTTAGGCCCAGAGGGCAACTGAGCACCACGCAGCTGTTCACTCACTTTTCCCCCATCAGAGATGGGAAGGAGAATGTGAAGCAGAAATGATTCAAAGAATCCATCCAAGGAGTAGCTCACCTATTATGGTCACAGGCAAAAAAACACCCCATCCCATTAATTCAAATGGTAACAAAGACAACACTTAACAGACAAGGTGGGACAGTGAGAAGTGCCACCACATCCAAAACACCTTCCCCCACTCCCTTCTTCCCCGGGCTCAGCTCTGCTCCCAATATCCCAGTGGCACAGGGGGCAGGGGATGGGGGGGTTACAGTCAGCTTGCCTCTCCTTCCTTTTCGGGAGCTGGTGCACATCCCTCCCCTGCTCCACGTGGCTCCCCTCTACCTGCAGGCAGTCTTCCACGAACCTTCTCCAGTGTGATTCCTCCCCATGGGGCGCAGCTGTTCCCCTGCTGCTCCGGCGTGGGTCCCCTCCGCGTGTTGCAGCCCTCCCAGCGCTGAACCACAACAGCGGGAGCTGCTTCTCTCCTCAGAGTCCCGGCTGCCTTTGAGCTCAGATGCCTGTCCTGGAGTGGATTTCTCCTCAGGCTTCAGGTCGAGCTCTGCTCCACCTTGGACCTCCATGGGTAGCAGAGTGGGCGGCTCTGCCATCTCACTACGGGGGTCTCTGCTCCGGCACACCTCCCCCATGTCCCTCTCCTTCCTTCCGCTGACCTGATTGTTCATCCTTTTCCCATCTCCTCACAAGTCCCAACCCCCTCTCATGTTCCCCTTCTTAAATACATTATTGCAGAGGCACAACCACCATTGCTGATTAGCTCGGCCCTGGCCAGAGGAGGGTCTAACTTGGAGCGGGGGAGCTTCTGAGAAGCTTCTCACAGGAGCCACTGCTCTAGCCCCCTCCCCTGCCACCAAAAAGCACACCACAGACACCCAGCAGGTACACCAATTTATGCCAGCTGAAAGATATGGGTCTGTGAAGGTTTCAGTAATTCAGATCAGGGAAGTAGTCTGCCCAGTGGCACAAGAATGCTCTTCATAGATCTCATTTGTGACATTTCTTTTGGAAGCTGAAAATAAATCCTAAATTCCAGTCATGAAGTTTGAATTTCCAGAAGGCCCTGGCATTTCTGATGAAGACACAAACATCAACACGCCATTGTCAGGGGGCTTTGTTTTGATTTGGCTTGACGTCTACCCCACCAGTGGTAGCTGTTTGATTTGTGGTGTCTGAGAGCCTGTGTGGCTTCAGCACGAGCCTGAATATTAACGGAATGGAGGGCAGTTAGTTCTTCTAGAGCAAAATTAATCTTTGCAGCAGTTTTCTTAGACAAAAAAGTTTCAGAGCTCTGGCCTCAGGCCCAGAGCAGTGTGGCAGTGTGCTGAACAAGATCAAGCAGACTCATGGTTACCAAAGGTTTTTCCACTGCTCTGAGGCAGGGCTTCCTCTCAGCAGCTGGGTCTGGGTGAAGTGCTCATTTTTCAAGAAGTGGTACTGATCCCTGCAACGCTTGTGCCCCCAGAGGTCATTCAGAACGGCAGTGTCAGGGAGTCAAGAGGGCACTTTGGCAGGAGGGATGCAGTCAGTAATGTAAGAGTAGGAGATGTGGAGCACACAACACGTTCTTCGCTTCATTCTAGCCTCAAGATGCTGCTTTTTGGGTAGGCGACCCATATTTGGGAAGTCCAAATGTTTACCTTTAAGAAAGTAGAGATAAGGAAGACCATTATGGTTCATTATATCTCCACCATGGAGCCATGCTGGCTCCGAGTCTTTCC